GCTGGATCATAAGGTATTTCTATTTTCAACCTTCTGAGGAAACGCCATATTGCTTTCCAGAGAGGTTGGACCATTTTGCAGTCCCACCAGCAATGCAAGCTTCCTATTTCTTTAAACTATATTTATTTCAGCTTTGTTTCCTGGGGCTGCTGAAACAAAATATAACAAAGTGAGTGGCTTTGTAGAACAGAAACTTACTACTGTCTTACAGCTCTGAAGGCTAGAATTCCAAATCAGTGTATCAGTGGCGTTGGTTCCACTGAACACTCTGAGAGAGAAACTATTTTATGTTTCTCTCATACTTCTGATGGTGTATACCAGTCCTTTTTATTCCTTGGTTTGCAGTTATATCTGCCTCTGTCATGACATGACCATTCTTCTAACTCTCCATGTCTGTTCTCCTCTTTTTAAGGACAACATTTAGATAAATTATGACCCACTGTTTTTCCAGATAAACTCAAAATCACATGTACCAGGAGATAGGGCTTCAACGCATATCTTTTGGAAGGACATAAATCAGTCTATAGCAGTTCCCTGTCAAAGCATCAATAAAATAAGATGGTAGCTGCCCTCTTGCCCTTACTCTTCCTTTTCATTCAATATCCATTTTTTGCTAATTATGTTAAAAATTTTTATTTTCCATTTTTTAGAGGAAGGGAAACTCCAGTTATGCATTTCATCATCTCTCGATAATTTTTGTGTGTGCCAATTCTTGACTTGTACATAAGTGTGTGTGGTTTTCTTTTTCTTTTTTTTTGCCTATCGGTTATTGTCTATTGATCATACAGTTTTTCTTTTCTATTTTGCTGTGTTAAGGTGTTGTTTGTTTTTAATATTAAGCTAGTCTCTAATTCTTGGGATAATCCTATGTGGTCATAATGTGTTATTTTCATTTATGATGGATTCCAGGATTTTTATATTTCTGATCAATATGGATGCAAGTCTGTAATTTTCCTTATTTTGTCAGTTTTGGGTATTGGGTTTATTATATTGAGCTCAGGAAATAAGTTGACTAAAGTTCCCTTTCTCTCTGTTTCTGACTGAGTTCGTGTAGGATGATACTGTTCACTAATGAAGCCATATGGCCTGGAACCTTTTTCTTTGTAGAATGGGTTTTTATTATAAATTTAATATCTTTAATACAGATGGGGCAACTGTTATTTTCCATTTTTTCTTGCGTCAGTTTTAGTAATTTGCTTTTTTTAAAAAAAGTTTTTATTGTGAATTATGTGCTAGTTTACATGGGAGAACATTAGCTTTACATTCATCCTATCGTATATTGTTTCATTGCCATGATTACAATCCCCTCCATGTATCCACAAACAACCAAAGAGTTGCAAGGTTGCACCTCGGTTGTCAGCACACAGCCCCTCTCCCTCTCTGGGTCTAGAGTCTCCAGCAGCTTTATCTCTCCATGTCATCATCTCTGCCTCCATCTCTAGTGTCACTGTTTCTCTGGGTAGGATCCCACACTCTGCTCTTCTTCCTTGAGGTCCCAGGGTCCTCTGCTTCTGGACTGCAAAGTCAACCACTCCCCTTCTTTTGCTACAAAATGTCTACCTTTACATTTCCAACCCTCACAGTCCATCCTGATGGCAATTATTCACTATTGTACCACAAGAGTCGTATCCGCATCTCCTTTCATCAGCCCCGCCCAGACAGATTGGATACTACTCAGTGGAGATTCTACCTTCCTCTGTACCCTCTGGATCTAGGTTCCCTCTTGAAAGCTTGTAAGCCGGTTACTTCTTGCCTTTGTAACCCCTCCCCACCCCATTTTGGGTAGCCGATGTCCAAATTGCCCATCCCTGTCTATCCTGTGTACTCAGTGGGTGGGACTGGTCCTCGCTGTAAGATTTGTTCCCAGTAATTTGTTTTTAAGAGAATTTGTCCATTTTATTTTAATGTTTTAACTTACTGGCATATATTTAGTCCTAATATCTATTTTCTTTTAATGCCTTTGGAATCTTTAGTGATGTCCTTTTTCTCATTTATGATGTTGGTAATTTATGATTTCTGTCTGCCTCTCTCTCAATCAGCTATGGGTATGTCAATTTACTAATGTTTTCAAAAGCACAACTTTTGCCTTTGTTGAGTATTTCTTTTATTTTTATTTCATTGATTGGAGTTGGTTCCAACTCATAACGACCCTGTACAGGGTTTCCAAGGCTGTAAATCTTTATGGGAGTAGAAAGCCTCATCTTTCTCCTGCAGAACAGCTGGTAGTTTCGAATTGTCAACCTTGGGGTTAACAGCCCGATTTGTAACCACTATGCTACCAGACCTCTTCATTTCCTTTCTCCTACTTTGTTTGGGAAAGGAGTTTTGATAGTATAGTGGGATACGACCTGGGCTGCTAACTGCAAGGTTAGCAGTACAGATCTACCAGCCACTCTGGAGAAAAATGAAACTTACTGCTCCTGTAAAGATTTATAGCCTCAGAAACCCTGTACAAGGTTGCTATGAGTTGTAACTGACTCCCTGGCACACAACTACCACCACCACTTACATTGGTTTTAATTTGTTCCTCTTTTCATCTTTTAAAGGTGGTGCTTAGGACAACTTCATTTATGAAATAGGCATCTAAAGATATAAATTCTTCAATGTTACTTGCCTCTGTGTAATCATTTTTAGGCAGTCTCTCATGCTTATGGGTCATGTTTTTTTTACTTTTGTGTGTGTCCTGTAGTTTCTTGTTATATGCCAAACATTTTGTATATGTATAAAAAGAAACATAATGAAGATTGGCATATATGAGACTCTTCTATAGAAAATGACAAACCCTTTTTTTTTTTTCAGGCTGCTAGAATGGGAGTTGACTCAATCTAATCTGTAGCAGATCTGGATTGGGGCTTTGTTGAAGTGTCAGGTTGATTCATGTTTTTACTGGCTTCATGTTTCTAGGCAGGCTCAGTACTTTCCTCAGCAGGGCTTCTTGTTTGAGCACTAGAGATTTTCTAAAAAGTTTTAAACTGTACTTCTTCACAGTTGAATTATTGCCACTCAAAACTTTGGGAGATCTTTCTCTTTGACTTACAGTTTACCACATATACCAAAATATATTAATTTCTTCTTGCATGTTGTTTACCTTTTCTCTGTGGTAGGTCGTTTTTATCACAATTTCTTTTTGCCTATAAATAAAATGCGTGTTATATTTGTTTTTGCCAACTATATCCTCTGTAAGGTATATTTTCATAAGCGTACTATGCTAATGTTTTTAAAAGTTTCTGTAGAAAAATTAGCATAGTTTGCTTATGAAAATGCTTCACAAGGGCAGCACCTGGTTGGAAAATAACATGATGTTATTTCCATAAAATTACAGTATTTGCCTTGCCTGATTTTGTTGTTGTTGTTGCTTTTTAAGTCTCTGGTGAGATTTCTGTGCTCTTAAATCCCACCTCATGCTTTCTCTACCTTGTTTGTTGTTGTTAAGTGCTGTTAAGTTCCTAATAGAGACCTTGTTTTGGGTTTCAGAGGACCAGCTGGTGCGTTTGAAATGTGGACCTTGAGGTTCAAACTGACCTTGAAGTCCAGCATCTTTCCTACACTGCCATACCAGGACTCCTGAACCTTGGCATCTATCTTTCAGCCTTGAATCTCCTCCCTTGACCTTTTGAGGCCAATACTCTTGGAAGGCTTAGCATGTTTTTCTACTTTGATCCCCTTTCTTAGGAGCTGAAAACTCAGATTACCTCATGGGGCAGGGTGGGGAATGGAGGTGGGGGTTCTGAGCTCTTCTTTTCTGCTCCCATTTTATGGCTACTTACTTGAGCATACATTGAAGATCATTCAAAAGCATTAATTGTCCCATGGATTTAAATCTGATTTGTGGTTGACCTCCTTAAGAGTCTAATTTGCCATGCTATCTCACATGTGGCTGTAAAATATGCAGGTGATTTCATTTTACAAACCTTGTCTGTGTGTGTTCCTTCTTTTGCTATTGTAGCTTATGAGGGCTTGTAACTATTTGGAATTATTACATTTCAGTTTCTGTCTGCTCTCAACACTGATTTTTTTAAAACTATGATTTGTATCTTATCTATTTTGTATAGATACATAAGTATAGTTCCTACACAAACTCAGTCAGAAATGATTTAAGCAAATTATTTAAAGTGTGTCCTTTTGTATTGTTTTTCAGGTTAATATATTTTGGTGGTTATGGGTGTAGGAGACACAATGAACTCCAAGAATGTTTTGATGTTCATGATGCATCTTGGGTAAGAGAGAATAATCCTTGTTTTTCTTCTAGTATAGCCTTTAAATAGGTAGAAATGCTGAATGTTATCTTTCCTATTATGTTGTTGTGAAGTGTCCTTCAATCAGTTCTGACCGATAGCAACCCCTGTATAGGGTTTCTGAGGAGTGGCTGGTGAGTTTGGTCTGCTGATCCAGTCCAAATTAACTTTGCAGTCCAACGGTATAGGAGGTACCAATTTGGCCTAATTGACACTATGACAAAAATGTTTTTCAGATTTGGATCCAGTTGGAGAGGGTTTCTCACTTAATAATATTAGCCTTCATGACTGGGCAGAGCAATTTATTTTCTAACTTCATTGGTTGCTTTAGCTACTTTCGTTAAATAAATAAAGGCTTTAGCACAATTTACCAGAATATTGTTCACATCTAGCTACAAGGGCTATAGCTGACATACCTCTTATTTTAGATTATTCACCAGAATTATTCATGTCTCAGACTGGCCTCCATAAAAGAATGAAAAACTTGCCTACTTATTCTTAGTAAATAGAGAACAATCCATTATTAATAAAAGAGGTCACAAGTTATAAAAATTAAATTTTTAAAAATCAGTGATCCCCACAAACAAAAGTAGATACAATAGATGAGTGGGATATACTAAAAATTAAAAATTTATGTGCATCAAAAGACTTCA